TGACTCTACAACTAGATTTTTGAATAAAGTATTATATTAAACTTAATAATTATGACACTTAACTAATTTATCTTACTAGCTAATGGATTGTTACAAGTAGTTTTAAAAAATACAGAGATACAGTTTACTCTTTATATGGTACGGATTTGATGAATTAATATTGAACTGTTATAGTTTTAGAGGTTGACGAAAGTTGTAGATTTAGAATAGAAGTTTACTGAACACTACAAAATTGCTAGCACTGGAAGTGATAATTAAATTAAAAGTCTGCAGGTAATGGTAGTTATAGAAGAAAAATAAGAGAAAACAAAAAAGTTTATAATACCATATTAAAACAAGTAATTATGAAATACAGGGATTATGTTAACACTTATTGTGGCACAAGTTTGACATATAATATTGCACTGGTTATCAGTTCTATAATGACAGTTTACAAGAGTAAGCAAGTAATAGTAAATTAAAAATAAAAAATAGAAATAGAAAGTGAGAATATAATGATCAAATGTACAAAAGTAAAATGGACTGATAGTAAATATGGTGTTGAACAAAATTTAAGCATGTAATATTAATTAAAAAAAAAAAAAAATTTCCTATTACAAGTATTAAACTTTTATGAACAACTAATTGAATTCATTATTACACTGGTAGTAATATTAGAGCTTATAAAGGCAGTACAAAGTATTTAAAAGTTAAACCTGAACTAAGAGAATATAGTGATTAATTGTATAAAGTAGAATGAACTGATAGTAACTGTGGTATTAAAACAAGTTTTTTGCAAGTAATGGTATTTAAAATATGTCAAAAATGTACAAGAGTAAATTGGACTCATAGTAAATATGGTAATAAATAAATAGTAATAGTATTTAAAATATGGAGTTGCAAAATGGACAGATAATATTTATTAAACAATTATTTAAGCAAGCAATAGTAATTTAACAAAAGTACATAACATAAGGTGGCTTATTCCTACTAGTAAAACCACGTATATTGAGGTAGTTGATTTTGATTATTAAGAGATTGTACTGTGAAATTTGTACAACAATGGAGCAAAACACACTACACGTAGGCTTTTGGTTTGGACATTGTTTAGTCATTCTTTGTGAGATTAATATCCCGAAGGAAACGTGATAGATCATTCTCGTTTGTGATAGTATACAGTTGGCCTACATTTGTTTTCTTCACTAGAATTTTCTCATTCCGTGTGAAGCATTGGTGGATTATGGCATTATTCACCCGCTTAAGCTTTGTGACGTTTTTTGGTGAGACACTCGTTTATGTATACCTCTTTCTTTACTGTAATAGATGTGCTAATTAGGTCTTTTTACCCGTCATGTGAGTGGAATCTAAGCCTAACACTTTTCTATTATGGGATCCTAGTGACCTGGCTTCCTTTATATCTGACACTGGTACAGTAACACTTGTTTGGTCCCTAAGAAAGAGGAGCACTGCAAGGGAGCTAGGGGCCCACAGAGGGTAAGAGCAAGAACACAGAGGGGAGGAAAATAATAATGAAAGAACAAATGCCCAAGGCAGAAGAAAGAAAACCCAAATAAAAAAGAGGAAAGAGGAAAAGGGAAGAGGGAGAAGGGGAAAGAAGAATCAGGTTAAGTCACGGGTGTTCTTAAGTTGAGAGCATTTTACAATGTAATGGGAAAGGAAGACATCTACGGAGACAAAGCCAAGACTAAGATTCATACAAGGAAATTTGTGTATAAGGGAGAATTCAACCAAAAGGCGACTGTGAAAGTTAGACGTAGGGTAGACAGTTTTAGCAGAAGACCAGTCAGTAGGATGGATGTAATCTCTGACATGACAGAAAAGAGCATTGGTGGAGCTGGCAAACCTAACACTACTTTTGTGCTCCCTAAGTCTGTCAGAAAGAGATCGGCCAGTTTCTCCGAAGTACTGAAGAGTGCAGGAAGAACAAGAAGTAGAGTAAACACCAGGAGCATTTATAGAGGGAGGAGAGGTATGAACTTGATTATTGTGCAGTGTTAGTCTGGCGAAAAGTAAGTTTAATGCCTCAAGAATGGAGAGAGTTGTTGAAATTAGAAAGACAGGAAATGTAGGACAGGCAGAGGACAGGAGAGTTCACAAAGGTAGAGATTTTGAAAGAGAAGAAAGTCCGTTTAGCAAAAGAGAAGGCAGAGTCTATGAAATGGGAAGGGTAGCCAAGACGGGAAAATGAATTATGAAGAGTGGAGATTTCTGATTCAAGGAACTGAGGATCACAAATGCGGAGAGCACGGAGAAAGAGGGACATAAGAACACTTTTCTTAACAGAGGATGCATGATAAGAAAAGTAATGAATATACAAACCACTGTGCATAGGTTTGCGGTAAACGGAAAAGGCAAAACCTGTATCTGAACGATGGAAAGGAAACAAGGAATTAGATTCCAATTCAGCTTTAAACTTAAAGGAAGGGACAAGATTATTAAGAGCATCCAGAAATGGTTGGAAAACAGTAGTATGAGGCCAAAGAGCAAAGATGTCATCTACATAACGGAGCCAGAGTGAGGGGCGCACATCAATAGTAGGAAGAACAGTCTCGAAGTATTCCATGTAAAGATTAGCAAGAACAGGAGATAGAGGAGAGCCCATAGCGACACCGAAGGTTTGAGAATAATATTTACCTTGGAAGGAAAATGAATTTGAGTCCACACAAAGGCGGATAAGATCAAGAAAGACATCAGTAGGCATAGGGAGATGAAGTAACCCTTCTTTGGCCCTCTCTCTGAGAAAAAGAAGGCCAACGAAGGATTACTTCATGTCTTTCTTGATCTTATCCGCCTTTGTGTGGACTCAAATAGGTAAATGATAGGTAAATAAACCATAGTGTTGATATTAGCGTAATAATAAAGCATATTCCGCGCATCACCAGACTCTGGAATTCCTGCTGACATAAACAAATGTTCCCAGACGGTTCCTCATTGGCTCTCCGCCTCCATAATAGCGTCACCATACATATTATTACTATAATTCCTCGTACAAACATCGTACAACAATGATACTTATACTAGTATTATCAAAGTGTTAAGCTATTTTTCTATACGATTAACTCAATTTCCATATTTTTTCGATTTTTTTTCACTTGCGCGCTGTGTAATGAAGCTAACAGATTACTAGGATGTATTTCAAGAAGTATAAATAACAGGAGTCCAAAAGTTATTTTATAACTTTATACATCGCTAGTAAGACCTCACTTGGATTATGCCTCAGGTTTGGTCTCCTTACTACAGGATGGATATAGATTCATTGGAGAACATACAGTGAAGGATGACTAAAATGATTCACTGTATAAGGAATCTTCCATATGAAGACACTTAGATCCTTGAGTCTTCACTCTCTTGACTAACATTGAATGAGAGGATATGTCATCGAAGTGTATAAGTGGATGATGGGCATAAACAAGAACATAAGAATGGAGGAACACTGCAGAGGACCTACTGGCCCATACAAAGTATATCCTTGTCAAAAATACCGCTACCCCAATCTACTCATGAATTTGCTCCCATACCCACAACAAAATCACACTCAGCCCTTCCTATTCATATATTTGTGCAATCTCTTTTTAAAGCTACCCAGGGTCCTAGCCACGATTTACCCTACTCGGGTAATCGAGGCTGTATTCTTTTCAAGACTGATGGACTGATTACATCAACTCAAGGCTGAGGGACTGATTACCTCAAGCTCATCCTGTTCTTCACCATTCTCCTTTGTTTGGACTGATGAAACCACTGTGTGGTGACACTTTTCTGGGGATTTATTTTGTTTCAGTCAGTCTAGTTGTTTCATAACCATATCGCTAGTGACTGTGAAATTACATAATATATTTTCAGGCCCATCATATAAATTAATTATTGGGATAATGTTAGTGTCTTCCTGTGTGAAAACCGAGAGGAAATAATTATAAAAAATCAAGCACATTTCATTCTCTTTGTCAGTAAGATGCTCAGAGTTATATTTAAGGTGACATAGCTTTTCTCTAACTTTTGTTCTTAAACATAGAGAAAGCCTTTTGGGCTAGCTTCCGAATCAATAGTAACTTTAATTTCATAGTGCCCTTTAGCTTTTCTTATCCCCATGACCCTTACCTCTTTTGAAGCATGTAGAAATTGCTTTATTCTGCCCTAAAAGATATTTGAGTCTATTTTTCATCCATTTTGGGTCATTTTTATTCGATCTGATTTCTTTAAATGGAAAAAATGTTCTTTGGGCAGCAAGTATAATGTTTAGAAAAGCGTCATATTGATAGCGCTCTTCGTTACTGCAGTCCGTAGATGATAGGTGTTCCCTAATCCCATTGTAATCTGCTAAGCAAAACTCTCGTACTGTTACTGAGTTATCCCTGCTATCATACTTCCATTCAATGCTAAAGGTAACTGATTTGTGGTTGCTTACGCCAGACCTCAGTCAGGGAGATTATTCCCCTTTTTAGGTTCTGTAACGAACTGCTTTAAAAATAATCCTGAGCTATCTCTAAGAAGCCGTTAGACTCTAAATTCCCAGTCAAGAATTCCAATTTGTCTGAATAAAGTTAAAGTCCCCTAGAATTGTTATATTTTCGTCCCTTGTGGCCCGAACAATTTCCTGCCACAGTAGTCTCCTTGGTACCAACCCTATTAAAGTTAGGGGGACAGTATATAATGCCTAAAATCAATTTCTCGTGCCCCTCTGAATTTCTACCCAGACAGACTCAGCCAAAAGCCGATAGATGATTTAGCCTTGCTAAATATTGTTAAAATATTTGTGTTTACACTTTTTACACTTAATGGAAAAAACATTCATAAAGCAAACATTGAGCTTATTATGGACAGTGTCACTCAATATGCTTCTGAGACACTGGGTAAACTCACACTTCTTCACAATCAATAATTTCTTGATGGTAGGAAAATTCACATTCTCAGTTTTTTCTTTCATATCCCAGATTAACTTTCATGATTTCTTTCCCAACAATAATTAATGGCAGTGAAATCTTTGTGATATCTTTTACCCGTAGGACTGTTTTCCCGGGTTATCATGCAGTCCGGGTCAGCTCTGTCACCGTGGGCAACTGGATTTAAGTTCAGGGAGACAGCTGAGGAGATAGGACAAACCATGGGATGCCCGGACAGTCAAGACAGTCAGGCACTCCTTGACTGTCTTCAGAAGGTCGACGGACGCCGTTTGTCGTCTCTCTTTCAAGACTACTTCGTAAGTTACTTGTATATGTATATTACAATGATTCATTTGAATTAACATTAAATATAAAACTACTATGCATGGCTTACTGCAAGGACCTCTTAATATTTCTCTGACCATTTTTTTTCTTACTCAAACTTGGGTAGCTTCAAATATAGGTTAGGAAAAAACATGAGTGGAAGAGGTTGGATTTGAGTGGGACTGACACATGAGTTATTATGATTATCAAAACATAATTCTTGTGTAGCTTTGAAAATGGGTTGAGCAAACAATTTTGATAGTGGGTTTTGGAATGAGAAGGCCCTGCCTAGCATGGGCCAATAGGCCTGCTGAAGTGTTCCGCTATTATTGTATTCTTATTTCGCTCACAACAGCAAGAGGTCACATCCTATTGGCTTCAAATTTCAGTGCTAGTATACAGTAACTAACGCAAGATTCATGGAATAATTGACATATGCAGGTGCCCTATGACCAAAGATTGCAAAACCATTCTCAACATCCTGGAATGGTTTTGATAACTTTCAAAACCCTCTTCAGTGTAGCTTCAAACGATCAAAAAAAAAAAAAATCCCTACTAATTTCACAATGGCAAAGAGAGAAATTCAGGTGTGAGGATAAGCATTTACCCATATACTTGTGATCACCCTTTCTGAAGATCATTTTCTCTGAATCAATTATCTAATCTATATCTTCGTGTCGTCAACGAATTTGCTCATATGACTAGTAATCCCCTCGTCAAGGTCATTGATATATATATTATAAACAACAATGGACCTAAAACTGTTTGATTCAGGTTGATTTGAAATTCGTATGTTCTTAAAACTAACAGAAGGTGCTTTTCCAAGATTACTTGCCAGATTTTAAAAATTCACGTTTTTTATTATTATTAATTAGTATGTTTCAAAATTCTTTCGTGATTGAGCAAAATGGTTTAGATATTTACAAACAGCAGCCCAATAACATGTAAGATCGCAACAATGAATAAAAATAAAAATTAAAAACATTCCAAATGCAAACAAGTATTATTAAAAATCGAGCACATTTCATTCTCCTTTACAGTAAGATGCCCAGACCTATTTTTAAGGGGACCTATTTTTTCTGTAACTTCTATTCTATATATCTGGAAAAAACTTTCGGCTTAGTTTTCAAATCCCTAGCAATTTTAATTTCATAATTCCGTTTAGCTTTTCTTATACGTAAGCAAAAACTAGTACATATTTATTAGAAAACGTTTCGGTCCTGCAACCTTGATGGCTTTCGTCAGAAGTATCATGCGTCATTGATATATATATATATATATATATATATATAGTATATATATATATAATATAAATATAAATATATATATATATATATATAATATATATATATATATATACTTATTTTATTTTTTATTATCACACTGGCCGATTCCCACCAAGGCAAGGGTGCCCGAAACGAAAAACTTTCTACCATCATTCACGTCCATCCCACTGTCTTGCAAGAAGGTGCTTTACACATAGTTTTTTTAAAACTGCAACATTAACCCACCCATATATATATATATATTATAATAATATATATATTAATAATATATATATATATATATATATATATATATATATATATATATATATATATATTTATATATATATATATATAAGTAGTCCATATTTTCTACAGAGAGGTGTATCCGGTTTTAAGGGCCTTCCACGGAGCGTGTATCCGGTTTAGGGCCTTCTACAGAAGCGGTGCTTCCGCAAGGCCTCCACTGAGCGTGTATCCGTCCTAGGACCAGCAGCTGGAGGGTCAACCTTTTCACACCTAGTTGTTACTTCCGGTCGTGACCATGACCTCGCCCTTCGAGACTACCTCACCCTGACTCCCCCCATCTCCCAATACCCCCGCCCCACGACCTACCCCCGCCCACGACCCCCCCCCCCTTCGCGACCCCCGCGCGACGCGCGCCCGTCGCGCCCCGCCGCCCCGCGCAGCCCGCCCCGCGCGCCCGCGCCGCGCCCTCGCGACACCCCGCCCCGCCGCCCCCGGCGCGCGTTTGCCGCCCGCGCTCTTCGCGAAACCCCCGCCCGCGCCTTCTGCTGCGCCTTTACTGCAGCGCATCCGAAATGCCACCCGCGCTTTCGAATTTTTTCCGATTTTTTTTCGAATTTTTTTTTGAATTTCCATTTTCTTAGGCTCTCCATCTCCTCGGATCAAGTTTTTAAGGTTCCCCCTCCCACTTTCCCCCAAAAATTTCCTCGATATTACCAGTTTTGGATTCACCCCTATGGGGGTTTCGAAAGTCTCCCATCTTCCTCTCCTCGATCCCCCTCCCACTTTCATCACCCCCAACCCCAAAAATTTCTCGGATAATACAAGTTTTGGATTCCCCCCTATTGGGTTTGAATTTCTTTTATGAACACCTTGGATCGAAATTTTTGGATTACCCTTTCCTTTCCTCCCCATCCCCCCAAAAAAATTCATCAATATCAAAGTCTCCACTTCCTCGGATCCCCCTCCCACTTTCACCCCCAACCCCAAAAATTTCTCGATAATACAATTTTGGATTCCCCACCCTATGGGGGTTTCGAAATTCTTATGATCTCCTCGGATCAAGTTTTTTGGATTCCCCCCTATGGGGTTTTCGAAATTCTCCATCTCCTTGGATCAAGGGTTTTTTGGGTACCCCTCCTTTCCACCCCCCATCCCCCCGCAAAAAATTCTCAATATCAAATCCCACTTCCTCGGATCCCCCCACTCCCATTTCCCACCCCCAACCCCAAAAATTTTCCTTTCTTTCTCGATAATACAATTTGTTTTTGGATTCCCCCCTATGGGGGTTTCGAAATTCTTATGATCTCCTCGGATCAAATTTTTCTCGAAATCAAAGAATCCAACTCCTTGGATCAAGTTTTTCTCAATAATACCAAGTCTCCATCTCCTTGGATCAAGTTTTTGGATTCTCCCCTCTGGGGGTAAGCATTCAAATGAACTCCTCCTATGGGGCATGCTTACTACAGGTCTAAACAAGTGTACGTCACCCCACCTGTGTTTACTCGGCGGTCAGTGACGTCACGCGATGACCCCCACACACACAGGCTGAATCTTGTCGACTTCCCCCTATGTCAGTGACGTCAGTATTCCTCTCATTAAGTTAAATGAACTAAAAAGGACCACGCACACACAGGCTGAATCTTGTCGTTCAGACAATAACTTAAAATGCAGATAACACTATTATTATACAACCAATGCTTCATATACAACATAGGACAACATTTCCTCTAACCAATACCCCAAATAATTCCACATTTTTCGTTAATAATAATAGCCCACAACAATCCACAATTTCTTTACAAATACAACACAATCGAGACTTTTTTTTAACTATTTCATCTCCGGTCACTCCCACGAAGTAAACTCCTCCCCCACCGCTCCTAAACCCTCACACACCCACCAACACCTCACAATTTTCCACTCATAACCCCTATTTTTTCCCCTCGTTTTAAAAACCCTTTTAGTCATTAAAGTTAATAAGGGGACACAGTGCATCAGAAAGTCACCACATCGCTTATAACCACGTTTTTCGATAAAATTCACTAGTCTCAATTTTAACAAGATTACGAAGTTAATTACGCAACACAACACCTCATTTACTTGAAACACCATCAAACACTCTCATAATCATTTGTTACACCTTCAAAAATCACCTTTTGAATACTCACATAAACACCCTTGAAACACCTTCAAAACACCTTTGAATAACCGCAAAACACCTTTTAACATTTCCAAACAACACTGAAACACTTCCAAAAGTATCTATTTTGACTACCACTACCAAATACACTACTGAATACTACCTAAACAACCCCACTGAAAACAGTCAAAACACCACCAAAATCACCATAAACTAAGAACAACATCACAGACTAACACCCATTTTGCACACAAATCCCCTCAAATCCATATAACCAAGACGATTACCAATTTCAGAGTACACACACGCTCCACTAAAGATATAACATGAGTTGCAAAAAACATGAACACAATCCAAACACACACGAACACTTATAACAGAATCACTTCTTTTTCGGTATCTCTAGTTCGTCAACAACACTCACATCCCACATTTTTTTTTCGTTTTAACCCTTTTAGTTCATTAAAGTTAATAAGGGGAACACAGTACATCAGAAAAAGTCACAACAACCCACTTATAACATCTTTTCGGTATCTCTAATTCGACTACACTACCCTCATCAATTACCAACAAATTTTACTCGTTTTAACTAATGTCATCACTGTAACCAAGATTTTCACAAAAAAAAAAAAAAAAAAAAAAAAACTCCATGACACCTAACACACACGCACACACACACCCCACAACATCCACAACCCACAATTTTTCTCGTTTTTACCCTTTTAGTTCATTAAAGTTATTAAGGGGACACAATACATCAGAAAAAAAGTCACAAAAACTAACTCAAACACTTTACTTTGAACACCCCCAAAACACTCTCATAATCATTTGTACACCTTCAAAAAACACCTTTGAATACTCACATAAACACCCTTGAACACCTTCAAAACACCTTTGAATAACCTCAAAACACCTTTGAACACCTTCAAAACTCCCTTGAACACCTTCAAAACACCCTTGAACACCTTCAAAAAACAACATTTGAACACACTCAAAACACCTTTGAACACCTTTGAACATTTCCAAAACACTATTTGAGTACTCCCTATTACACCACTGAATACTACTAAAACACCGCTGAATTCAATCAAAACACCCTTCAACACCTTCAAAACACCTTTGAACACCTTCAAAACACTCTCATAATCATTCGAACACACTCAAAACACCTTTGAATAACCTCAAAACACCTTTGAACACCTTCAAAACACCCTTGAACACCCTTGATCCCTTCTAAAAAAACAACATGAAGCACACACAAAACACTTTGAACACCTTTGAACACTTTCCACAAAACACAATTGATACTACTCCCAATTACAAACCCTGAATTCAATCAAAACACCAAAACCTTCACACCTTCAACTCACCTTTGAACACCTTTGAACATTTCCAAAAC